GAACCCGAACCCGACCCGTTTATCAAACGGGTCGGGTTTTCGGGTCGGGTCAAATATTGACACCCCTAGTAATTCATAACCGATTTAATTAATAAATCGGATTTTATCATATTCGTGTAATATCCTCTTAGGGCATCTACAAACGAAAGGCATTCGGGCATTTGTAGTTCGCACAAGCATCCAACTGAGGGGCGAAAGTCATTTTCGTGTTTTTGGACAGTGCGATATCAATATTAGCTTCGCACTGTTCAATAACACATTTAAAAAAAAAAGATAGAAAAAAATATACACTAGATTTTTTTTTATGTTAAAAATAAAATTAGATTGAAAATGGATTACTATTTTGCTACATCAATTACTATATATTTTGGAGTGAAAAATAATTTTTTTTTTATTAAACAGAGGCGAGTCGCGATGGACCATATTATCATACGCTAGGTTCACAGTGGTACATAATATTAAAAAATTGGGCAATGTACATACATACCACTTTATACCATCTTATTTACATATCTAACATTTAAAATTTTAATATTATATACATATCATTATATATTATTTTTATATCAAATATATTACTCATATATTTCATTTATATCAGTCATATTTGATATGAAAGTAAATTATGAGTGACATGTATGTAATATTAAAAACTTATATGTTAAATATATAAATAAAATAATATAAAATGATATGTATGTAAATATCCTTAAAAAATAATGTGGCTCCTCTGATTCAAATGGAGTCAGCTGACCTAATTATTTCACGTGAATCGCCTATAAATCCGAATCAATACTATAGCCCCTGGAGGGGCCAATTATCAACCGGACATTCGGACATCCAATTTAGATGCGCCACGTCATCAAAATACTCTGGGGTCCAATATATTTAGATGATATGGCGCATCTGTATTGGTGTGCGGACTAATCTGGACACCGGAAGTAATAATTTGCCCCCTGGAGGAGGTTTGAATCCTGCAGTGGAAGCCTGGTGGGGGAAGAACCAAAAGGCAGCAGCCGCACATGCAAGTGAACAAGAATCATATCTGGCGCGCAACCCTCCTAACCGAAAGATATCGCCTTCGCCGGCGATAAGATGGATGCGGCCGCCAAAAAACTGAATACCCTCTTCTTGTTTCTATATATAACCCTTCTTTCTTCCCCCCTTTCCATTCTCTTTCTTGCATTTCCCATTCTCCATTCACTCGCTTCCAATACTTGCTTGCGATGGCTGCTGCGGCCTCCTCCCTCCTTTCATTTCCTAAAGTCCCCTGCCTCACTGCTCTGCCTCGCTGTCTTTCATCTCAGGGTGAGGGATTTTACTGGATCCTATATCTTTCGATCATTTCTTGATTCATTATGTAGATTTGGCGGTTTAGTAGTTTGTGGTGTTTTAGGGACTTGGAAAGTGCGCTTTGGGATCGCTACGGTGCGGGCGGACGCATCGTTTGGTAGGGCTAGGGTTTCGGCTGAGAAGAAGAAAGATGTGCGACCGATAATTGTTATAGACAATTATGATAGCTTCACGTACAATCTTTGCCAGGTTTGTTCAAATGGCTTTTAGTTTGAGAAGCTTGCGAGGTGCTCTTTTTAATTGGGATGCATCTTGTTGAATGGAAATAGCAGTAGATTGGGGAACGTTTTTGGGTTATTTGGTATGTGTTTGCTTTGTTATGTCATCTGTGAGAAAGATTTATAAGACTCTTTTCTTCTCTAGTGGAGGTTAAGTTAGTTTGATTACATTCAAACCTACTTGCTCCATCACGCTCGGCATTTGTCAGAATTTCCTGGAAAATGATCTTTCCTGGTTGAATCGACCAGGCTTAACGGGTTTACGCATTGAAAGCCTGGGTATGTAAATTGAATTTTGTGAGCTGGTCACAAGGTTGTTATTACTTTGAACCAATTGGTGGTTTGTCTGTCACGCCCATCCACTCCGCTTTTTTTTGTAAGTTAATAATAACTGTGAAATCAGCCCTGGTTATGATGGTGTCGATGTACTATCAGCTTATGTATGCTACTAAAAAAAAGTACGCCAATAGGAATTGACTGCAAGATTCTTATTTTTTTCATTAATGAAAAAGGGACGGTAAATCTTAACAGTTTCCTCCAATGTGACGAACGCAACATGGCCCAGCGATAGATATGGCAAGTAAACTTAAAAGAAATAAACTAACTGAGAAAGTATATACTGATAGAATATTGGTCATTAAAAGAGAATCATAAAGTTAAGTATCATAGAGATGGGGATGCTCAGGTGGATGCGTGGCTTTACACTTAGAGATAGAATGCAAAATAAGATATATGTGAAAAGGTTGGAGTAGATCCAATGACATATAATATTAGAGAGAGTCGTCTTAGATATTTTGTTCATATAAAACATTGGCCTTTTGATGACCTTATTTGGAGGTAGGTGTATTAGATTTTGGCTTATGTTAAGAAAGGTAGAGGTAGGTCTAAGAAGTACTTGTATTAGATTTATCTTAGATATTTTGTTCATGTAAAACATCGGCCTCTTTATATATATATATATATATATATATAGAATGTGGTTACATCATTAGTCCACATGCGCATAGTTTTATGTATTGTAAACTTAAAAAACATTATGAAAAGCATTTAGATGGAACAAAAAAGATTTGTTATAATCAAATCGCTAATAAGTCATTGATGTGTGATTTCCATCAATCCTTTGATAGGAAGTACTTGTAGAAATTAGGAAAAATCTTGGCTGAAATTTGATTTTAGCAATTTCAAAAAACCAACAACAAGAAAATTAAGAATAGAACATACAAGAACACTTTTTATTGAACATTTTATGAAAGAAAATACAATATACACATGGATCTTCAATTGGAGAGGAAGATCCGACTCTCCTAAATCTCTAGATGCTGCTAGAGCTCAAAACCTTAGAGAGATCAATTTCAGCCAAATTCAAGATGCCCTAACCCTAGGAAAACAAACTATTTAATGCATACAATCCAAAAGGAACTTCTCCGCCTCTGTCGCTACATTCGAATTTCCATCCTAAACTTCTCCTAAAACCTTCATAATATGCTCTTTTGAACTGGGTGGTTTGATCGGCATCTGAAAGAGGCGAAACTTCTCCGCCTCTGTCATCCGTATGTCGGTCCAGTTGATCTATATAACAATATTCCCTCTCAAAGATCCACCTTATCCGCAAGGTGGAAAGACAACACCATCCTCCATTCTCTCGTCATCACAAATGGTAAGAACCTGAAGAGTTTGATCCTTACACATGTGTCCTGTCGTATACCTCTCATCACATTTGAAACAGAGCCCCTTCACCCTCTTCTCCTGTAATTCCGTTTCTGTAAGCTTCTTGAAGTTGTCCCTAGGTCTTCCTACTGCAGTCTTTTCCTTCGAAGTCCCCTGAAGAGTATTTTGTGTTGGCTCCTTAGATGCCAATAAGGTGATGGCCACATCCTGTATGAGCCTCCTGAGCTACTGCCTCCCGTTCCTCTCTCTAGGTACCTCTAATCCTCCACCAATTGAGTTAGCTCCATAGCCTCTCTCAAGTCACGAGACCTCATCACCCTAATTGCTGTGTATATCTCTTGTTTTAGTCCCTTCATAAAGTTTCACTCCAATACTGTCTCTGGAAGCCAGTCCAGGCGACTGGCGAGGTACTCAAATTACTCACGGTACTCCACCATTGTCCTCTCCTACATCAAAGCAAAGAGCTGCTCATAGAGATTCTATCCCCTACTTGTTTGGAAATGTTCTAACAAGTATTCCTTAAACTCCCTCCAGGTTCGTATTAGTCGCCTTGTATCCCTCCACTGGTACTATGCTAAAGCCATCCCTCCCAAGCATATCCCTGCTGTCGTCAGTCTCTCCCCCTATATCAACTTTATTAATGATAAAGTATCTTTCCACCTTGTAGATCCACCCATAGGCATCCTCTCCCCCAAAATATGCATCTTCAGCTTCCTTACCCTCAGATCGCCTGTATTCCCTTCATAATTTCCCATTCCCAAAGGGGGTGGTTACCCATCATCCATTCTACGTTCATACCCAAGTTTTTCATCAAATTCTCACATTCTTCTTTCAAATTCAACACCCATTGGATCATAACAAACCCCTCCCCTCTCAAATTCAACCCACCTTTTGTCATAATTACCCTTTTCCTTTCAAATCCCTCCCCCTCTCCTCTCCAAATCCGCACCTCTTCGTTCTTTCCCTACATCCTCCCACCTCTCCCCATAGTCTCTACCCGACTCCTCCCTAGAAATAGGCCCTAGGGTGGCATTTTTTTGTTCCCTCCAAAATCTCTACCTCTTCATCTTCCCTTCGTCCAATTAGCTTAGAGTTTTCCCTGCTTCCCTAGCTGTTAACACCTTCCTTCATCTCTGACGGCGATATTTTTTGTTTGGCCCTAGGCACTTTCTTCAACATCTCCTCTAAGATGGAAAAATTCGAATCGACCTTATCATGGATGATTGAAATATCTATTTTTAAATCTAAAACTAGAGTTTGGAGATATGAAATTTCATATTTCATTTGTTTGATCTCCTCTTCTAATACTTCTACCTTTCTTCCCACCATAAATCCCTGGATCTTTGTTAGGCTCGAAAATCAGGATTTCCACCACAAAAACATCTAAATTCACGACGTGAAATAGAAAAAACAGCTTCATGAATTATCCAAAAACAACTCAAAAACAGTCTGGAAACTGATTTTATACCAATTTAATAGGAAGTGCTTGAAATATGATTTCAGCAATTTCATAAAACTAACAACAAGAAAACTAGGAATATAACACACAAGAACATTTTTTTATTGAAAGTTTTATGAAAGAAAATGCAAAATACAAGTGGATCTCCAATTGGAGAGGAAGATCTGGCTCTCCCAAATCTTTAGATGCCCTTAGAGCCCAAAATCTAAGAGAGATCAAATTTCAGCCAAATTCAAGATGCCATAACATTAGAAAAACAAACTATTTAATGCATACAATCCAAAAGAAAATCTCTAAACAGTCCCTACATTCAAATTTCCCTCCTAAACTTCTCATAAAACCTTCCTAATCTGCTCTTTTGAATTGGGTGATTTGATCGGCATGTGCATGAGGCATCTTCGCCTCTATTGTCCGTAAGCCAGTCTCGTATGGAGCTTGATCGATCCAGTGGACCGGTCTAACATCCTTCCCCACCCTCATTATTAGGCTTGTGGCTTGGAGTTTGGTGGTTGCTTTGGATTTTGGCGGCTAGTTATTTTGATTGGATTTTAGGGGCATGATGTTTTGTAGTGGTGAATTCAAATGGGGCCTTATGTCAGTCTTGGTTGATTTTGTGTGGTTTGTCTTCCCGTAGATAATTGAGATTCTTTTTTTAACCTAATGCAACAACCCACAACTATAGGACTCCAAATGTTTTTTTTATTTATTTATTATGATTTCAATATTTTATAACTACTATTTTGTTTTTTAATTGTAAATATTAAGGAACTATGTGTTTATAAAAATGGGATGTAGGGATGTAAAAGTTAACTTGGTTATTTTTTAATGGTGTAAGCTTTAAAATAGTCCATAGGTTATTCGTATGTGGCCATTTTAGTCTCAAAATATCATGTGACTCCAATTTAATCTCTCAACCACACTGAATTGATCCAAAATGGTCTAGGGATTATTTTGGAATTTTTTTTGATTTTTTAATGAATTCTAGTTGGATATGTCATTTCATCATGTGCCCACAATCAATTAGAAAACTAAATATTTTTAGGAGATAATATCTCCTTATAAAAGTGTGAGGCATGATTTATTTATTTATCTTTATTTTATTTATTTCTATTCTCTAAAATTTTGTTATTAGTTCGCATTAAAAATGCTTTTAGTGAAGTTTGATTCAATTTAGATTTCTACAATGGCATGTTTTTTATTTTTTTTTATAATTTTCATGCGATTTGATTTTGTGTTATTTTTAGTAAATGGCTATTATATTATCGTCCATGCAAGATTTTTTTTATGCTTCATTAAGGGACCATTTGGTTTGTTGAAATAAGAATGTAGCATAAAATGAATGCATAGTAGAAGGAAATTTAGGTGTTTGGTTTGATGAAAAAGAAATAAAATGTAAAATCTTAATGAATTCCTTTTTTGCCTCCTTAATTCATTCTTTATGTATTGTAAATTCATGCAGTTTTGGCCGAATTTCTTTTTCACTTCAAGCCAACTGTGTTGTCTTCGCTCGCCTCCTCCTGCTGCCAGCCACTGTCGGCCCTGCCGCCACTAGCCTCACATCATTTGCTACCCCACCGCTGCCTACACCACCCACTGGTAGCTGTCGCCTACCACCGCCCATCGGTAGGCGTCATTACCACTGCCACTGCTACCACTGACTGCCAGCCTTCCGTCGATAGCCAACCATCCACACTGGTGCCACCACCTCCAATTACCACTTAGGGAATCTCCAACCGAAAAATTTATTTTCCACTCCAAAATGCGTTAAGGGACGTATCAAGCAATAATTCATCTCCATCTCCAACCGAACTGCATTTCTAACAACAACAACAACAACAAGTCTTTATCCCACTTTGTGGGGTCGGCTACATGAATCATTTTTCTCTATTGTGTCTTGCATTACACTCATAAAAAAAATTACTTTGTGTATATTCTTTCTATCTTTTTTTTCCTAAAAAAACAAACATGTTCTTGAGCAGTGTGACCCCAATATTGACGTTGCACTATTCAAAATGCGAAAATGGCTTTCGAATGCTGCTTGGTTGGACACTGGCGCGAATTGCAAACGCCAGAATGTTGTTCAGTTGGAGATGCCCTTAACTCTGCTTACTGACACAACCAACGGTCCCCACCATCTTTCATCGCCATCACCATCATTTTATTTTGTATTGTATTTATTTTACTTTAGGCCAAAAAAAAAAAATAATAATAATTTATTGCATTCTTTTTACACTCATCAAAACATCTTCAAACATCTCAAATACACATCTCAAATAGAAGCATTCTTTTTAGTTTTTACACTACATTCTTTACTTGCTAATTAAAAGTTTGTGATCTATGAATTTGTATGTTTATTTAATTTTGTGCATCTAATTGTTGCTTTGCATAAGTAAATTTTAAAACCCAAAACATCTTCTATGAAATTTGGCATCGAGCCTAAGTTTGAATCACAATGTCAACTAGAAACGGGACATAACTATCAAGATGATGTACAAAATAATAAAATGATGCAATTTAAATAAAATTAATTTAATAATGATTCTAGATAGTTCTTGCATAACTGTTATGAGATTAAGGGTTATATTCCTACATACTGTGTAATGTATAATCTTAGTGAATATTCAAAATTGAATAAATAACTTTGAAAATTTCTTTTAAAGTTGCAAAATATTTGATTCTTTTAACTGTTAATAAAATTAATAGGGCATAATTATTTTGGCAAAGTAATTCTTGTCAAACAAATTCTAATAGGGCTGATATGAAATAGAAACTTAAGAAGCAATATTTTTCATTTGGTGATTATAGGGATAAAATGCATTGTCAATTTAAAAACTTTAGATAATGTGACTATAGTATGCTTGAATGCTTCATCAAGTTTAAAGATTTTGTAGCCACATATTTCTTCCCTGGAGATTGCTTCTTTCATTTATTGTTTCATTACATGTCTTAAGAAAAAAAATTAAATATGAATTAAGCTATAATTCTCCAAAGGCATTGAACGAAGCTTTATATTGAACTTTAGAGTTTGAAAAATATTATAATCATCTTCATGTTTGGACCACCACATCTATTATTAATATTTCTAAGAAAAAAAATTAAATCTCATAGAAAGTCTGTCAAATACATCATGCAGAAGAATCATGTTTAAATTTATTCTTTTGGAAAAAAATATAATATATGATTATTCTTTAAATGATTCATTAGATGAATAAAATTAATTTACTGTCATAATACATTTTTACATCTGATTTTGTTAAATTTGAATTTATATTGGAGTCTACACTAGAACATATTCATAAACTTAATCTTAAAATAGAGCATGGGATTATTTTTGAGCTCAAATCCCTAGTAAAATGTGAACTTATCGCTTATTCTAAAATCAAACTTATGCCTATTAAAGTTGTTGAATTAGATGAGTAATTTGATAATGCAACTCTTAAAAAGTTACAACTGGAATTTTGTTTACATCTCTAAATCAAATTGATATTAAATTTATTTTTTAATTCTGGATTTCTTGATTCACAAAACTTATGAAAAGAGTCTTGTGGAGAAATTCAATTTGCATTGGCATATTGAAGGATTTATTAATGATAATGCCTTCAAAAATCTTGAATTGAAAATTATTAAAGGATTCATCTATCTAATTGAATTCATAGGTACAAAACACATTATAACTAATCTTTTAACCATTTGGATTATTTTTTATTAAAAAAGTTGTTCATCCGTATGATGAACACATCACGTGTTAGTTTATTAGTTACCGGACAAAGATGATGTAGGACTACATGCTAAATTTGGAAACTTGCACAAGATATTTTAAGAGCAATTTCAGATTTTAGTTATTCGTGATTAAAACAACACGGTAAAACTCTTAAAGGTTCAACTCAATTAGGCTAAGCCACACAAGAGACTGAGCTACATCAAAATACATAGGAAAACTAAAACATTGCATGCAAAGTAGTTTCCAACTTAACCAAGACTTAACAATGAAATCTAATAGCAAAGAAGTAACAATCCTACGATTACTAATGGATGGCGAATAGTAGGCACAGTTTCTTGTTTGGACAAATCTCAATAAGGTAAGTAGAATTTGAAAAGTAAATGGATCTAGGAAGAAGATCACCATCTCTGAGAAATGACGTGAATTACTACGAACCTTCCGTTAGTTTCTCTTCCCTAGCCTTGATCACAATGAGTAGCAATTGGTAAGTGGTCTTCTCTTTGAATCAACAATATTTTCAAATTTCGAAATTTGAAAATACATGAGGAGGCGGCCAGGAAGTCGGCAATTACCGGGAGCGGGGTGGTGGATGAAGAGGAGGCCGGCGGTTGAGGAGATGGACGACGGGATGAATGGGAAGGGGCGGGTTTTGGGGAAGAGGGAGTTTCGGTGGTGAGGTGAGGAGGTGTTGAATGGAGGTGGGGAAAGACCGGCGGCGGACGTCGGGTAGGAGAAAACACGGGAGAAGGATAAACCAAGAGCCACCGGTGGTGACTGTTGGGTACGATGGGTGGCCTCTCCTAGGCTCCACCAAACTCTCAACTCTCAAGCTCCACACGAAAGCTTCAAGAAGGCAAAATGCAGGAATTTCTTTCAATATCATTCATTAACCCTCAAAAGTACAAGATGAAGGCTATAAATAGCCTAATACAATGACATAAAATAAAAGACTAAAATACCCTCGAGGGGCTACAAGACTCAATCCCTCAAACAAGGGTAAAAAGGGAAAAATGCAGAAATAAAAATACATCGAAATAAAATGACCAAACTAAAATCAGAAATACATCAGGCAGATCGTGGCCGTAGATCTACGGCCACGTCGGCGGTAGACTTTCCAACTGATGTCCCCATCAAAAAATTTCATAGAACTTAATAAAGATCAATTTTAATTTTTTGTTATCAACACTTTTGGGCATAAGTTTAGTAAATTCATTATTAAATTTGCATTATAAAATCTTTTTGTTAATCATATCCTATTGTATCATTTTCATTAGTTATTTGCTAGAAGAGTATACAGAAGAAACTTACTATTAAATAAGGTAGTGGTTCATCTATACTGTAGAAATTGTATCAATGCTTTTTAAATTTGACTTTTTCCCAAACATGCAAAATTGATGCAAATCTCAGAAGTCTACAATTGTTGAAAATATAACTTGTGTGTGCTAAGAAAAATATTCAATTAAATAAACTTTTATCTGATTTTTAGTTATTTTATTTTTGTAAGTCCTATTTCAATGAAGTGTGTATTTACATGCACAATACACTCTAAATTGTTACGAGAGTTTGTTGATGGTGGTGATCTAAAACAATTCATTGGACCCTAAATTTTTAATACGAAGAGATTAATCTTAGAATCCCTCTGATCCTTCTCCACCTTCATTACATTACTTGCTACTGAGAGTTTAGAGTTGGCTTTGTAGTTTTGTTATTGGTTCTAGTAGCATAATCCTTATTTTTTTTACTGTGATATTTAACTAGATTTGACATTTACTCGGATCCTTCTCCACCTTCATCAAATGCAGTTTTACTGTGATATTTACTAGATTTTGCATTGACCCTTATTTTTTTCTAGTACTTTTATTGTAATCTAAGGATACTTGGTGGGGGATCAGAGGCTTGTAAGGGTTAATCAAGTAATTTTTATTAAACTTTTTAGTGTGAGGTTTTATTCCTTCTAGTCCTTGTTGATCAATTAGGAGATCGAAAAATCTAGGAGATGTCTCCTTTTACAAGTGGGATGTTTAATTTATTGATTTCTTTTCTTTTTTTTTTCTTTTTTAACTCTATTTATATTCTATACAATTCTGTTATTGATTTGCTTGCTTGATTAATATTAGCCAAACTTGGTAAACTTTGGATTCCTTTGGCGTCGTGATTTCAATTGATTGTATCATTTGCTTGTTTCTAAATTTTATCTTGAGTGGCTTTCCTTGTATATTTTATTTAATAAAAAGTAACTAATAGTTTGTTGAAGTTAAGAGCTTCTAATGTGCGAATTTGTATGTATTTTCATGATTTGATAAATCTTTATTAGCAAGCTCTTGAACCCAAAAATGTATCGCCTCAGCCATTCACAATTGGCCTAGCTTAGACTTTCTTCATCTCCTCATTGCTCATTCCATTGACCTATGGAAGGTTTTTGAGGCTCTAAACCATGTCAAATGCCACAGTACTACTTGTACTTTTGCATATTGTTAATCCTATAACTTTAAAAATTTATTAATACTTACTGAGATTAATGTGATTGTTACCTGAATTACTATTTTATTAAATTAGGACCTCATATTATTTATGCGATAGCTGAATTTTGTTAATTCTCTTATTAGTATATTGGAGAGCTGGGTGTTGACTTTGAGGTATTCCGCAATGATGAGCTTACTGTAGAAGAGATAAGAAGGTTTGTTTCTTTTCAAATATTTGAGTGAATATGTTTTGTTCATGAGATGTATCTATTATCATGGAAATAGCTATTTTTGTATGAAAATCTTGTTTTTGGCTTTGTTTGCTGACGACTTAAAATGACTTGGCTTTTTAAGGAAAAACCCCAAAGGGATACTTATTTCGCCTGGACCCGGTAAGTGCCGCCTGTTAAAAAATGTTGCCACTTTTGTCATTTTCTCAGCTAGAAGTAAACGGTCTTTTGTTTCAGGTGCACCCCAAGATTCAGGGATCTCATTGCAAACAGTTGTTGAATTGGGGCCTTCAATTCCTTTATTTGGTGTCTGCATGGGCTTGCAATGCATTGGAGAGGCTTTTGGAGGTTTGGGTGCTTTGTGTTGCCATTATTTGCACTACTGTATACCTAAACAATGCTATGAAGTTTAATGGAGGTTCTTTGTTGATTTACAGGGAAGATTGTGCGCTCTCCTTCTGGTGTGAGGCATGGTAAAAGTTCTCTTGTGTACTACGATGAAAAACTTGGAGAAATTCTATTTGATGGATTGTCAAAGTAAGCTTTATGCCATTTCATAATTTCTGTGTACATGTTCTCTAATGATTCGCACTTCATAAAATGCTTATGTTGCTTCTCACCATGTGAAGGATCACTCTTTAAATGTATTATTTTGTGAGTTGTAACTAGCAAAATCTCATTTAGTCTGGGCCTGAGGTTTTTTAGGTATATTTTGTTTTTTATCCTTGATTGCACATTTGTACCTCAGGAATTTATTCTATGAATGAGGAGTCTTTCACATGTCCACGGTTTCATCATCCAAATCTTCTCTCCCGACTATTTTTTGTTGGGCTTCAGATCTCTTCATCATAGGATCATATTAATGGTCATACTTGGTCATTTTTTGTTGAATTAGCTTTATCTTAGAAAGGATAGAATTCCCTGGACTCGTCCTCTACCCGCAACTTGTACATGTATTCCATTTTTGGACCCTTAACTAAGTAAAACTAACTTCTTGTCCAATTGATTCAAGAACCTGATTATCTCGAGACATGGTTTCCATTTTATGGTCTTATGAGTGTATAATTTCATATTTCTGTTTCCTTAATGAATCTTACTCTTTTGCCTTTACTTCTCTCTTTAGCTACTACTTTCTCGCTGCTTCCTAGAAAGTTTTTGTGATGGAAACCTGCCTTTTACAACCCAGGTTGGTAATGTGTGGTTGCTTTAAGAAGCAGCTACTTAATTTTTTAGAAAAGAACATATTTATAATATCCGTAACAACTTTCCAAAAAGTTATTTTGCCTACAAAAGTCTTACAAACACTTTTACAAAACGTTTTAGCCAACAGAAAAATATCCTAAAAGAGTTTCAGGTATTAGACTGCATTGTTCATTTGGATATCTTAGTGTGAGAAACTGAGAAAATAACAGGATCGTTGAAAAGTCTAAATGTTAAAAGGGAAAATAAAACGTAAAAAAGAATTAAATTTTGTGTGGTTTTCAATCTTCCACGAACAACAAGAAGATAATCTGTGGAGCGACTAGCTTTGCCTCAATTCTTGAAAATGCTTCCAAATCTGATGGAACCCCACTACAGGTTGAGGAATTAATCTGTTTTAAACTGTGCCTGACGCCAAGTAGCAAAATTCAGGACGAGAAAAAAACTATGTAGATTTGATTTAATATGGCGCTAAACAACTAATGTTTCATACTGTCATCCTGTTAGACCAATCCATTGGATCGATCCAGCCAGTCCACACGAGACCGGCCCAGCGCAACAGAGGTGGAACTTCTCTGCCTCTTGCTCATGCCACGTGAGCCGCCAAAGCCAACGGAGCATTTTAGGAAGGATTTTTGAGGGATTTGGGAGGGAAATTTCAATGTAGGGACTGTTTAGGGATTTCCTTTTGATTTGTATGCATTAAATACTTTGTTTTCCTAGGGTTAGGGCATCTTGAATTTGGCTGAAATTTGAGTTCTCTTAAATTTAGGTTTTCTTTTGGGCTCTAGTGGCATCTATCGTGAGAATTAGTTTGTGACTATTATTATTCATTTAATATGTTTATTTGTTAAACCAATTTTGTTGCCTGATGGACAATTTCTTCATTTTCTTGCAGCCCTTTCTCTGCATGTAGGTATCACAGCCTTATTATTGAGAAAGAAACTTTCCCGAGTGACAAGCTTGAGATTACTGCCTGGACGGAAGATGGGTTAATCATGGCTGCTAGGCACTTCTTATATTATACATTATAACAAATTTATAATAAAAATAATATTTAATATAACATATAAATTTATAATATTAAAAAATTATATTACTAATTCTTATAATATACATTATAACAAATTTATAATAAAAATAATATTTAATATAACATATAAATTTATAATATTAAAAAATTATATTACTAATTCTTATAATATACATTATAACAAATTTATAATAAAAATAATATTTAATATAACATATAAATTTATAATATTAAAAAATTATATTACTAATTCTTATAATATACATTATAACAAATTTATAATACGCTTAAAAAAATTATAGCCCAACCACAGTCCAAATTTGTGGCCCAACCAAGCCCAATTTCATATTAACTCATATAATATTTATGCAACTTTTTTAGTTCAACATCATAAGAGAGTTTGATATAGTTGTCTTTAACTCTTTATATAGTGTAAAGAGCACACTTTTTATAACAAAACACATTATGTTAGTAATTAATCTCTATATTTAACAAAAATATTTAAAATTTTTAAAAGAAACTTAATACAACAACAACATCAAACCTTTATGATCGACTACATGAATCCTTTCCTCCATTGTGTCATGTTAAGAGGTAAATTATCATTTAAATCTATTAAAAAAAAGGTCATTTCTAATATTTTCTAATCAAGTCTTTTTAGGTCTACCTCTACCTTTCTTAACATAGGTCAAATCTAATACATCTATTCTCCTAATAGGGTCATCAGAAGGCCGCCATTTTACATGAACAAACCATCTAAGATGAATCTCTTTAATCTTATATGTCATTGGAGCTACTCCAACCTTTTCACAGATATGCTCGTTTCATATCATGTCTCTAAGAGTAAATCCACTTATCCACCTGAGCATCCTTATCTGAGCAACACTTAACTTAATATTATGCTTCTCTTTTAATGGCCAACATTCTGCACCATAAAGCATTGCAGGTCTCACCACCATCTTATGAAAATTTTCCTTAAGTTTTAGTAGTATTTTTATATCACACAACATACTCGAAGCATTCCTCTACTTTGACCATCCATCTTGAACTCTACTAATAATATCCCTATATATTTCACCATCTCTCTGAACAATAAACCCAAGATATCTAAAACGAGTACACTTATTAATGACTTGATCGCTCAAAGTCACGAACCCTCCATTAGATCTATTACTACTAAAATTACACTCTATGTATTCAGTTTTAGATGTACTCAAAAGAAAACCTTTAGACTTTAAGGTTGTCCTTTATCATTCGAGTTTACCTTCAACTTCCTCTCTAGTCTTATCAACAAGAAGAATATCATTAGCAAAAAACATACATCAGGGTACATTCTCTTGCAAATGTCTAGTAAGAACATACATGACTAAAGCAAAAAGATAGGGACTTAAGGCTGATCCTTGGCAATCCAACTGAAATGTGAAAATAATTGATCCAGCCACCTTGTGTTTGAACACAAGTAACAACTCTTGCATATTTATCCCTAATGACTTGAATATAAGCATTATTAACCCCTTTCTTTTCTAGAACTCTCCATAGCACTTCTCTTGGAACTTTATCATATGCTTTCTATAAATCAATAAATATCATATGTAGATCCTCCTTATTCTCTCTAAACTTCTCCATCAACCCTCAATAAATGAATAGCTTCCATAGTAGGCCTACCACGTCGTAACATATGCTCCATAACTCTCTCCCAAAGTTTTAAAGTATGACACATCAACTTATTCTTGAAAATAGGAATCAACACACTTATTCTCCACTCATCTGACATATTTTTAGTCTTCAAAATAATATTAAAAAATTTAGTAAGCAAAGAAATTATTACATCTCCTAAGCATTTTTACACCTCTATTGAAATATCATCAGGTCCAATAGTTTTTCCATACTTCATTTTCTTTAAAATCTCTCTGTAACTTCAATTTTGCTAATGCACTAATAAAATTAATAAATCTCTATTTTCTTTTAGAGTACTAGAGAACTAAAGTCAATCGTATTCTCACAATCTTCATTTAAAAGTTTAGCAAAATCTCTCTTCCATTTTTGTTGAAAATCATCTTTTAAAAAAATACTTTTTGATCTTCATCCTTAATGCACTTCATTTTAAAGAATTTAATAAATTAAAATATATTGTTTACAATTTAATTAAAACAAAATTAATTTTTTATAGAACCGACTGGTTCTTCCCAACCTGGATCGATTCACCAATTGAACTGCCGGTTTTTACCGGTTTGATGCAAATCCGGTTTTTAAGGCGGATCAGAATGGACATCTGACTAGTTTACGGTTGAATCGGACGGTCCGATCTGATTTTTAAAACTACAACTTTTATTGCTTTTGGATCGTATAATGTTTGCCATTTATTTGCTAAATTTATATAGTCATTAAGAAATAGTAGAAACAAAAAAAAAAAAAAAAAAACATGGAATTCGCAGATGATTCCAACTAAACAACTTTGGAATTGTTCATTTACTGCTCAACACAGCAAAATCTCTATGAGACATCACTTAGTATTATTTTTCTTTCAAACTATGTTAATGAGTGTGAAATTAGTTAGTTAAGTTTTTTTTATGAAATTAATAATGTTTATTTTAAAAAAACTCAAAACAAGTTTGAGGAGTTTTAGATTTTTTGTAACAATTTCTTTTAGATAAAAAAATTCTTTTTTTAGTAGAGGATATTCAACATATTTTGATAAAATTTTCAATGAATATTGTGAGAATACGATTGATTTTAGTGACCTTAGCACCCTAAATGAATATAGAGATTTTTGTTTTGATCGTTAAGTTAGAGAAGATTTAAAGAATATGAAATGTGAAAAAGCTATCGAACTTGATGTATTCCAATAGAGATGTGGAAATGCTTAGGAGATGAAAGAATTTTTTTGGTTTACAAAATTTTCAATATTATTTGGAAGACTAAAAAGATACTAGATGAGTGAAAGTGTATGTTGATTCATATTTTTAAGAATAAAGGCGATGCACAAGAATATACAAATTATAGAGGAATTAAGTTAATGTGTTATATATTAAAACTATGAGAGAGAGTTATTGAGCATATGTTACAACGTGATACTAATATTTTTTAAAATTAATTTGAATTATTTTAGATAGGTTTACTATGGAAGCTATGGATTTATTGAGGGGTTACAACGCTATACTTTTTTTTAAGTTGATAATTGTATAACAACATCAAACATTTTTTCACTTATGTTAGGACATAAACAGAATAAAAAAATGATATTAAATGGCCCCTTAGGGGGAAATTATTAGGTCCGGATACCGGACGTAGAGATATGTCCGGACTCCAATAAAATATTGATATGTGGAGTGTACACGTGGATATTCAATTAAATTTATTTTTTACTTTATAAATTAAATTTGTCCGCCGAATTTTAAGCCAAACGCACCCAAAGCGCAGTCAAAGCACAGTCAAAAAGCACAACAAAAGTGCAACCCACTTGTCAAATTTTAATTGGATATCCGGACCTATATCTATGTCCGGTGTCCGGACCTAATAATTTTCCCCATTAGGACTTTGTTTTAAGAGAAAATTTATCAATATTGAGTTATTTCCTACATTTAAAAGGAATGATATCCTAAAGCTTCTGAAATAAAGTTTCATCCGTCTCATTATTTTTTGTGCTTTCCTTTTGATTGACAGGGCGTTCAGTTTCATCCAGAGAGTATCATCACCCCAGATGGCAAGATGATGATTCTGAACTTCATCAAGTTTCTTGACAAGTTTCAGTTATAATTCTTGCAAAAAATGAAGGTAAGTAAAATCGAGTGATTCATATATGTCCAGAAATTGGCTTGGCTCAATTTTTCTTTTTGAGTTGGAACTTTGAAAAACGTCCGTTTTCCATTTTATAGAAAGTAAATGAAAATGAATCCCTTTTCGTAATGCCATTTTACGACGTGCATTGCATTCTGCAGCCTCGATTGAAGTTTGGCTTTTAGTCCATCTTCTTGCAAAGTTTTTTTTTTTTTTTTCGTATTAGAAAAAGATCATTAAGGATCTTTCAGTTTAAAAAATAGTGCAGATTATTAACGACTTTCATGAATCTGGATCAAGCTATGTTTGTACAGAAAACAGCTGGCTGAGGAAAAAGAGTCTAGAGAGCAGTCGTTCAAGTGGAACTTTTATTTGGTCCGGTCACTTAACATAGATCTACGTTCGGACGTCACTAAAATAGTGTCATGTGTTCTTACTCGTTACCGCGCGGCCCCACAAACCGACCCGGAATGGACCCGGGATTGCTATGTTCGCGTATTGCTCGGTATTGCTAGGTATTGATCGATTTTGTTCGGCAATAACGAGAAATACCATTCTGTGAAGACCAATACCTATTAATACCGAGTTTTTCTCGGTATTGATCTTCACAGAGCGGTATTTCTCTTTTTTGCCAAGCAATACCTAGCAATACGCGAACATAGCAATTTCGGGTTCCGGTCTGGGTCGGGTCGTCGGGCCGCGGGCGTAAAAAATAAGAAGAAGTGGCGAAATATTATTGGAGTATGAACGTGGAGCTACGTCAGGTCACCTGACCTAATAATTGTTCCATGAAGTGGGGAGGTACTCATCTGGTTCTTGCAATAGGAAAATACATTAGTAGTTAGAAAATATACTAAATAGTTAATTCAGTGAAGTTTATAGCATAAGAAGAAAATAATTTAATTCAAACAATTAGCTTAATAAAATTATAAAAAGTATGAAAATTTTACCAAAGAAATAAAATAAAAATGAATTGAGATAAAGAAGAGTGATAAAATTTTGAAATATGTTATATAATTATAAAGATAAATTTTGAATTTAAATATTTAAAAAAATATTTTTATGTTATTTTAAAAAAAAAAAAATCTATATGCAATCAAAATGATCTTTTCTTTTTTTAAGCAAAGATTTTGTTCAAACAAAAAGAGAACAAAGAATGAACTGTTGGCAGAAGCTTCTGTGGAAAAATTTCACGAGAAGAACAGAAAAGGTGATTTACTATAACTGATGAATTTTCCTTAGAGGTTATAAGAGCAACCAAAAAGATCGAAATGAATTTTTACTTAGATTTTTGAAAAAGAAGATTGCCTAGTAAGATGGGTGATGATTGGCTCAACGATTGTCTTGTGCCTTACATTGAAAAAGATGTATTTGATTTGATTCCCAATAAATATGTTATCCAATATTATCAAAAAATGCAAAATAGATTGATAAAATTGTAATGAATATCACATATTTAATTAATATATTAAACATGTTCTAGCAGAAATCAAATGATTTGATGATTGAAGTCATTTTGTGAAGAAAGAAAATAAAGTAATTTACTACCAAAGTTTTATCATTTTTAATACTAATTATATTGATCCTAAGCTTGAATGTAAAAAGTTAAAGGAAAATTTAAAAAAAAAATTTAGGCCCCCCCTAGATATATTTTCTGGCTCCGCCACTGGTTGGGACGTAGAGCTATGTTTAGCATCCACACAGAATAATTTTTTTCTTGACAAGCTGCTCAGTTTGATTTTAATAAAAGAAATTATTTTGAGAATTGTCGTAGGCTTGACTCGGCTCACTGTTTCTCGAAAAGTTTAAAATTAACCAAGCTCAAAAATAAATATGAGCTGAGCTCGAACACGAGAGTTTCAATGAGCTCGAGTTTGAACAACTGTTAAAGAAGCTCTATTTTTAGGCAAATTATTAGGTCCGGTTATCTAACCTATTTCTAGGTTCGGACATCCAATAAAAATTTGTCACGTTGATTGCTTTTGACTGTGCGCTTTGACTGCGCTTTTTTGACTGTGTTTTACCTGCACTTTATCTGCACTTTATCTGTGCTTTTGGCTGCGCTTTTTTGAGTCAAAGCACAGTCAACGTGGCAAATTTTTAGTAGATGTCCGGACCTATCCGGACATAGAAATAGGTCCGCTGACTGGACTTAATAATTTGTCTAATTTTATTGAGCCAAACTTGAGCACAATTTTGACAAACGAGTTGAACTCAGAACAGGGTGAAACTCGGCTCGACTCGGCCCTACTTTTTATCCGCCCAGCGGCATATCATAACCGCTCATACGAACTCAAGCATCCAACGACCAATAGCTACAAAGCACTATGTGCCACCCAGCATCGGTACCTACTAAGCATCAGCCGCACCAACCTTAAAGACCCCTTCCCTCAATCCCGAGCTCATCTTCCTCTCTCCTCCACCTGCAAATCTCCCTTCAACAACGTTAACCTCATGACCGCGTTTTAACTAGAATCAAGTTAAGAAAACGAAGACAAATCTATTTCCTCTCCTCTTACAATCAATCAACAATGGAGAAATGGGAGCAATCGCGACCGCAGGCTCCTCCGTCCCATCGCCATGGCCGTAATAATCCCTCTTTTTCTTCTTCCCTCCTCGACGCCATCTACCGCTCCATCGACGATTCCGATGCCGTAACTCCCTGCCTCGTCACTTCCTCTATCGACAAAAATTGCGCCTTCCGACCACCACCTCCGGCTACTCTTCGCCGGGCTATTGATCCGGTCGATGATCGCCGTCACCGACGCTTTTGCTCTGCCACCAGCTCCTCCGATACCTCCAGATTCGGCGGATTCTCTTCCTCCGACTTCGACTCCGCCACCCGCCCTCGCCCTGTTCTCACCCGATCCAAACTCATCCGAATGGATCCACCGCCGCCTCCGGAAACTAAGAGGACCAATCGCTCTATCCGCAGCCGTATCCGCGATTTGCAGAAATCGCCGGCCTCGGCGTCGCCCGGATCCCGCCTCACCGCCTTTGTTAACGCAATCTTCGCCGGCGGCAGCGACAGAACCCCCAACAAACCCAAATGCACCGGCCGCATGGAGAATCCAGCGAGCGCGACCTCCTCGTCGTACTTTTCGAAATCGGGAACCAGCAATGCTGCTCCGTTTTATAATGGCCGCGGGAAGCAAGAGTCTGTGCGGATCTCGCCGGTGAACGACTTCGGCGGCGGGGATCTCCGACAGACACGCCCATGCGGCGGCGGAGATTCCGCTGCAGCGAGCGATCGGCGTATGATGGTGGAATTGTTTAGAGGATTCGAAAAGATAGAGGATCAGGAGGATTGCGAGAGCGTGTCGAGCTCGGATCTGTTCGAGCTGGAGAGCCTCTCTGTGATCGGACGGTTTACGGACGAGCTCCCGGTGTACGAGTCCACTAATCTGGGCAATAGTCGCGCAATCCCCCGCCGCTTTATCGCCTGAAATTTATATTACGATGATCTCAAAAATATTTGAGTAAAAAAGCTCTCCATCTTCATACAATTATTGGGTGCAGTTTTAAATGGGTTATTTCTACGAAAAGATTTAATCTTTTCAAAATTCAAAGGAAATATATATAAATGTTGAAGGCAAAGTTTTAAACATAAAATATTTAATAAAATTTAAAAGTAACATCAATTATATTTTTAGATAAAAAACTGAATGCATATAGGCTTCGTTTGGGACGGCTTTCTCACTGCTTCTTAAACAACTTTTTAGTACAAAAATTTTAATTTTTGTATTAAAAAGCTGCTTTAAGAAGCAGTAAAAAGGCCGCCCCAAACAAAGCCTTAGTGTAATTTTAGTAGTAATAGATCTAGTGGTGGGATTATAACTTTGGGTAACCAAGTTGTTAAAAATAGTGCATTATTTCAATATCTTGGATCTATTATTCAAAATAATAGTGAAATAGATGGGATATTATTAATAGAAATCAAATTGTATGGTTGAAGTAGAGGAATGCATCAAGTTGTTGTGTGATAGAAAAGTACCACTCAAATTTAAGAAATTTTTTATAGGATGGTGATGACTGATGAGACCTGCAATGTTTTATGATATAGAATGTTGGCCATTAAAAGAAAAGCATAAGCATAAGTTAAATGTTGTAGAGATGAGGATGCTCTGATAAATGAGTGATTTTACACTTAGAGAAAGAATGTGAAATGAGTATATATATGAATGTAGTTGCTCTAGTGCTTGATAAGATTAGAAAGAGTTGTCTTAAATGGTTTGGTCACATAGAGCATCACCCTTCCGATGACTCAATTAAGAGATTAGATGTTTTAGATTTGATCTATGTTAAAAAAAGTAGGCGTGGTTAGAAATATTAGAAATAACATTTGTTTATTAAATTTCAATGAGAATTTGATTTTTAATAAGACTTAACCAATCCCACGTATTGGGATAAAAGTTAGACGTTGCAATTGTTGTTTTTGTTATCAAATATACTTATAAATAAATAAATATTTGCTATTTTTTTCATTAATGTATTTTTTGTTTTTATACCTTAATTTAAATTATATCAAAAATAAATGTTTTCCCTTCTTCAAAATTGAAGTAGCAAGATTGCCATGCGAGCATGATCATGATGGGCGTTTAATTAATCCTTAATCAGAAATAAAAAAATTTTCTTAACTTAATTATCTTTGTTTACTCTTAAAAGGAATTGAACTTCACCTTTAAGAATTAATTATCTCCCACTTGAGAATACTATATATTGATAGTGATAATGGACTGATCAATTCCAATTTTCAATGATGAAAATGTTGGTAAGCTTCATGCCTGGACCAAAAAAACTATTCAAACATCTTTGTCCCTAGTTCAGTTGACAAGGTTCACAGTCAGATTAATTAGAACCTGTCCAGTGATTTATATCTGCATCTCCCATCTCTTCCTGTCATGATTGAAACCGTCTATTGTAGGTAGCTAATCTTGATTTATTGGTTAAAAATTTTAACGATGAACTAAGAGGTCTTGAATTTAAGTCTTACATATATAATATGCGGTGACTTTATTTATCGTTAACACATTACGTATAGTACAGGCTATGATGCATAGACACGAATACGGCGATACAAACACGACACAACATGGACACGGAACACATCAATTATTAAAAATATAGGACACGGACACGGGTTGGACATAGCATTATGGTTTTATATTTTAAAAATAATGTATAAAAATTAAATAAGTATATAATTTAGAAATAATAAGTAATTTAACTAAGATTTGAGCTTAAAATAATTAATATTAGGATGTCGAGAATCGGCCATCAATGTCGTTTATCATTCATGGAGAGAGAAGATGATAATATTGTCGAGAGTCAGGCATTGATGTTATGCAGTAAATATTGGGCGTGAATGTTAAGAGGGCATTTATCGTCAATGTTGAGAGGGCGTTGGCCGTCGATGTTGAGAAGGTGTTGGACAAAGATGAGATGTCAAGTTGTGGTTGTAGAAATTGCTAATATCGAGCATTAAATTTGTATTTAAGATATGCGTTTTAAAAAAAATCATAAAATATTTAAGATATGCGTGTCGAACATGCGTGTCCAATTTTTATTTAATATTTTTTTAATCGGACACATTTTCGGCGTGTCTAACACGTGTCGGAGGAGTGTCGAATGCATGTCGTGTCCGATACGAGTCGGACACTGCACGCCTCTTTGAGGAGAAGTGTCGGTGCATCATAGACTACAGGAAAATCACCTATTTCTGACGGTTTAGATGACTTTTTCGGCAGTTTTAAAAATTACCGGCGGTTCGTGAACCACCGGCATAAACTGCGTAGGAAATGAATTGCGGGGGCCATTTTCCGGCGGCTGAACTTTCCAACGGCTTTCTGGCGGCCATAATAGCCGGTAAGTTCCGAAAGTCAAAACGCCGGCAACCGCCGTGTAATTAGTTGAGGCTGATTTGGTAGGTAGCCTGTAGGGTCCAATTTTGTATAACTAGCGACAATCCCATATTCAGTGTATGAATGTGAGTGAGACATAACACAATCTCATGTACACTACTATACTTGGCCATAAGGCCTATGACCCACATATGTCCCTTCTCTCTTTTCTAACCTCTACAAATATTTATGCTTTTGGCCGCTTTCATGGTGGAAGACAGCGATCCTCTATCTTCCACATGGGTAGCTCGCGCGCAACTTTTCATTATCTTACTAAAAAAATGGGACAAATAGTACTAATTAAGCAGCTGATCTTCTTATTTATTCCTCAAAAAATCTCACGATACGATACCCAAATATTTATAGAGCACAATGTAAAAGTAGCTTATCATCACTTCAACAATTGTGTTAATTATGGAGAAATTATCTCGTAATCTGTACAGTTTCTCTGCTGCTTCTTCTTCTTCGTTTCTATGCTAACACTTGCAGCTGATCACAGTATATATTGAAAGGAAGAGTGGCAAGAAGAACAGGAAGAAGATAATAGAAAGGAAGATAGAGTTGGGAAAGAGAAAACAGAGAGATGATTTGTATTCCGCGCGTATTACATTATAGTGTTCTCTATATATAGAGTTTAAGACAGGTAAAATAGTAAATACAGAGTCGTTAGGTAGCAGTGTATATGAGCGAGCTTGTATCCTGCTGATATCCTCCCTCAAGCTGAACGTTCGTGCGGACAGACGTTCGGACGGACGGTTAGCTTGTCACGAAGTTCGTTGAACCGGGTGGTGGAAAACGACTTTGTTAAGATATCTGCTATTTGATCTTTGGAAGGAATGTGAACTAATTGTATTGCCTTGGAGCTGATATGTTGACGGATAAAATGGTAATCGATCTCTATATGTTTTGTGCGATTGTGAAATACTTGATTCTTCGCAATGGCAATGGCCGAAGTATTATCACAGTGTATAGTTGTAGGGGACGGCTGTGGAATGTTAAAATCAGCGGCAAGTCGACGAAGCCAAATTACTTCGGAGACAGCAGCCGATAGAGACCGATACTCAGCTTCTGTTGAAGACTTGGCGACAGTTACTTGCTTCTTAACTGTCCAAGAGAGTAAAGTTTGGCCGAGAAACGTGCAATATCCAGAGATCGACTTACGGTCGGTTTTATCCGCGGCCCAGTCGGCATCGGAATAAGTATGCAGTTCGAGTGGTCCGGGAGAGATAGGAAGTCCGAATTCGATCGTTCCCTTGATATAGCGTAGGATTCGCTTGAGTGATTTGAAGTCCTGATCTGTTGGATTCTGCATATGTTGGCATATCTGATTGGTGGCAAAGGAGATGTCCGGGCGAGTGATTGACAAATATTGCAGCGAGCCTGCTAGCTTGCGGTAGAGAGTGGGATCGCTGAATGGCTGAACAGAGGTGTTTGTTTGTTTGTCGGCCGGTGTAGACGGTGTAGGTGCCGGTTTACAGTCAGCATAACCTGCATCCAGAAGCAGTTTAGTAGCATAATGTTGTTGTGAAAGGAAATAACCGCTTGAGGATTGAGTCACCTGTATGCCGAGGAAGAGGGATATGTTGCCCAGCTGTTTGAGTTCAAAATGAGTCCGAAGCTGACGGAGAAGGTTCTGTATTGCGGTTTCGTCATTGCCTGTGACAAGAAAGTCATCGACATAGATGAGTATAAAAAGTTGAATATTGTTCTTATGATAAAGAAGAAGAGAAGGGTCAGAACGACTGAACCCGAATCCTTGATCTTGGAGAAAACCGGTTAATTTGTTGAACCATTGTCGAGGGGCCTGTTTTAGGCCGTAGAGAGACTTTTTGAGTTTGCAGACGAAATCTGGGTTCGCTTGGCTGACAAATCCGGGTGGTTGTCTCATATAGATGTCATCATCAAGTTCACCGTGAAGGAAGGCGTTCGAGACGTCGAGCTGATGGATTTTCCAGTGATGGTGGACAGCCACGGTGAGAAGAAAGCGAATCGTAGGCATTTTCGCCACAGGGCTGAAGGTTTCTGTATAGTTTATACCAAACTGTTGATTGTATCCCAATGCCACGAGTCTTGCCTTATGACGATCAAGTTGACCTGTGGGTAGAAGCTTGGTCTTATAAGTCCATTTGCACCCAAGGATTGGTTTATTCGTTGGTGTGGGTACAAGGGTCCAAGTGTTTTGTTTGATCAGAGCATTGAATTCTGCGGTCATTGCCAATCTCCACGCTTCGTGTTTGTTCGCCTGATTGAATGTGGTCGGGGTTGGTAAGGAAGTTACTGAGGACATGAGGTTGAGTAACTGTTTGGGTTTGCGGATGCCGGATTTTAGCCGTGTTTGCATGTGATGAGTAGTAGAAAGAGGGATTGGGATGGGAGACGGTTGTCTGTTGGATGGCGAAGTAATATGAGGAGGTGAAGGAGTGTTGTGAGGAGTGGAAGCCAGAACAGGACGTTGAGCTGAATTAGTAGAGTTATTGTTAGAGATGGGGTTGGTTGAGGGTATGCTGGTAGGCGGAAGCAGTAGGGGAAAAGCAGAGCCTTGGTTGCCTTCGGACTGAGTGCAGGTTGGTTTGGGTAGATGCTTGTAAGGGAATTGTTGTTCGTAG